ATGGGTGAACTAAGTTAAATTTGGGTGGAAATTGGTGAAATAGGATAAAAGTAGGTGGGGTAGAGTAGAAGTGGGGGGGGGGAACAGGATAGAAATGAGTGGAATGAGATAAAACTGGGTGGAAATGGATGAACTAGGTTAAAAGTGGGTGAAATAGGGTAAGAGCGAGTGGAAGGGGAAGAATATGTGAGAGTCGACGAAATAGGTTTGAAGTCAGTAAGAGAAAGTAAAAATGGTGGCGAGTGCGTGGCATAGAGGTAGAATGAGCGGTGTAGTTTTTTAAGCGCACTATTGATAGTCGGCTTCCCTTTTGTGAAAGAGGCTTTTATTGATAGAAACTGTCGTGCATTTTACACCGGTCTCTGCTAGTGCGTTCCTATAAAGGCATGGCCATTGTTTGACAGAATTACTAGTGGGTATGAACACCTAGATGTTGAGTAGATGCCTAATTCGACTTATAATACAAGTAACGCTCGTCTGCCGGCTCGCTCAGCTCTTTCTCGTAGAAATCGTATTCTACAATACTAAACTTTTTGCTTATACAGTTTGGAAAAATTAACACGAGATTTGTGTTCTTCCACCCCACTTACCCTTCGGTCACCCCTTATGAAAATTTTTTTTTATATAAATTGGTTCTGTCCCTAAAAACGTGATTCATAAAAATATTTTATAAAACTAACATCAGATTCGAAGTCTCCACATCGAAATGCCCCAAAAATGTCTTTTCTAAAAAATCGATTCTCGAATTACCTCTGGTAAAACTTTCTTGGAACTATCTGTAAGATTAATAATATTAATTAATTATTAATTGATTTTTAACTAAAATTAACCTCACATTCGAATTCTTGGCACTCGATTGCCCTTCGGTCAAACTTTTTCAAAAATTAATAATATCAATTATTAACTGATTATTAACTAATTAATTTCAATAAGTCAATCTCAGATTCGAGTTCTCCATACTCGAAAACCCTTTGGTCCAAGTTTTCCGAAAATATTTCAAAAATTAATAATATTAATTATTAACTGATTATTAACTAGTTAATTTTAATAAACTAATCTCAGATTCAAGTTCCCCGCCCTCGATTACTCCCCACTCAAAGTTTTCCGGACGTATCTGAAGAATTAAATTTCAATGTTTTATTGACCCTGCGGACACACAAGCAATCAATCAAGCAAGCAGACAATTTATGACTACTGGACTCTTCTCTACGAGAAAGAGAATAAACGTAGAATTCCCCGATATATATATACCTATCCATATATATCAGTTTAGGAATTCACGAATACATATTCTTTCATTTATATTTATAAATTTATATTTATATATATATATATATACACTGAAAAAAATTTCGGAGAATTATAAACCATCAAAAAAGGTTTATAACTATAAAATTCGTTTAGCAACGTGCTCTACCCCTTGATAAACCCTTTTTTCTTAAAAAACCCAACAAGGGTTTGTTATACGTTGCAAACTGATAAATCAAACGGTTGATTCTCTCTTGATAAACCTTTTCTCGATTAATAAATAGAAAAAGGGTTTATCAAGAGAGAATCAACCCTTTGGTTTACCAGTTTGCAACGTATAACAAACCCTTCTTGAGTTTTTTAAGAAAAAAGGGTGTGAGTGTCTCTTATTTATCTTTTCTACACCCACACCACAGCCACACCACACCCACACCCACACCCACACCCACACCCTTATTTTACAAAGACAACTTTTAGTGCTCTATCCAATGATGGAATCAGAATTTCTGAAAAAGATTCACGAAGACTAAAAAAGGGTGATTCTGGGGCCCATTTTTTGATAAAATCGACTTTTCAGCCTGCTCTGCCGGAGTTAGCGCATGGTGGAAGACCAAACTAAATATATATTCTCATACAACTCGACGAGGGCTACAAGACTAGCATACTTAAATCTTGCCAGAAGAAAGTCGATGTAAATCTGGGAGGAGCTGTGTGGAAGTACCCATTAAGCATTAGATGTTCATTTATATGATAACTCGAATTAGGCATCTCATGCTGATGTTGGCTGACTTTATGGATGGCATTAGAAACCGAGTTGTATGGCGTAATTATCGATGGAGTTATAGCAATTGGAAGAGGATCAGATAACTTGCGGGAAGCTTCGTGACATGGGTTTCTCATTGATGTTTGTGGAAGAAACTTTGTTTGATAGAGTAGGTGAGTTTTCTTGTGTCACGGACGTCTTTTTTATTTACTGAAAACAAAGCATAGTAATACGACCTGAGTAGTGTCCCTATAATAACTTTCTTCAGTTTCTTAATTTTTCTATATCATATGATAAGTGGTCTAACGTTGTTGTTTTTGCAGTACTCTTATTGTTCCTTTCAGGATTGAATCGGGTTAGGTCCAAGGGACCGACGCGTTACTTGTTCAATAGTTTTATCGAATATAAATGTTGTATTTTCTAGATTATCTTTCGGTATATCGCAACAAGTTATTAGAGCTTATTATTCAGGAAAATGGGTGATTACGACGAGGACGACGATTATTTTCGTAAACGATCACCTGACTATGCAAAAGTTCAAGCAAATAAACAGACCGTCACAGATCATTGTGCTCGTGAACATGACAAGCTTAAGGATCAGAAAAGAGAACTTCTTCAAAAAAAAGTAGAAGCTAGCAAAACTAGTGCAAATTTGATGAATGAAAGCGATATATTAATAACCGAGCTTGAACAGCATGCTAAAGTAGTCGGCCAATTACAAAACGCTACTACTCAAATATCCGCAGAGCAATCAAGAATAGTGGAAACAATTATTCATGAAAAAAACAGTCTGGATACACATCAAGTACAAACTGAAAACTATGAACGTGAATTACGTCATCATTCAAACATGAAAAAAACATTGGAAGTAGAAGAAAAACAAATGCGTGAGCAGTTGACAACGACGAAAGGGACATTAAATAAGAATGGCAGTACACAAAATTATTTACAACTATCTTTGAATGAACTACAAGAACAAATCGAAAAAGTTAAAGTTGCATTGCAAGAACAAGAAAAATTGCTTACAGAGGAGAGAAGACAACGGCAGCAACTTGAATTAAAAGCAGAACAGTTGTTGGCAGAAAAGCATCAGATAGAAGAAGATATTAAAACGATCATCAATGAATTGGAACGCCTTTATGAAGAACAGCGTTTACTTATTCTTCAACAAAAAGATTTAAAAAAACAACAGGAACAACTTGAAGCAGCTATTGCTCAATTGGAGAAAACCTTAAAACAGAAAGAAGCAGGTCTTACTATCCAACAAACACAAATTGATCGTATACAACAAAAAATTCAACAGTTAGAAGATCAACTTGGAAGCATTCGTGAAGAAATACAAGCTTTGACTGATGAACTCGAAGCCAAGTCCAATGAATTAGCGCAAGCCCAGGAACGATTGAGTCAACTTGAGAGTAATAGGAAACAACTCGAATTGGAAAAACGAACATTAGATCAAACATTCAATAGTCTTAATGATCAGCTAATCGACTATGATAATCAACTGAGCGGATTACTACAAAAGTTACGGACAACTGAAGAATTACTTGTTCAAGTACAAACGAAATTAGCACAGCTTGATCATACATTGGAATTGCAAACTACGGAAGTTGAACGTTTGCAGAATGAACATGATACATTAGAAAGGCGTGTTGCCGAATTAACCGAACAGTGTAACGATTTGAATGGACAAAAGGAGGATGCATTACATGAGCAACAAGCAGCCGAAAATGAATTACGTGATTCTCAACAACTCCTCAATCAATACAAACAGCAAGAAAGAGAGGCACAAGCACAGAATATGCGTGACACCAACGAGTGTGAAACCGCTCTTGCACATTTCAACGCTGCTGAGAATGAACAACGCATCGCTGAAGAACAAGTACGAGCTGCTGAAGTCCGATTGAAACATGCACAACATTCTTTATGGGTGAAACTTGCGTGGGCCTGTTTATCATTATTTGTCAAAGGTTTACGCAATCTTGAACAAGAAGAAAATGCAGCTAAAAATGCTCTGCAACAAGCTAATGAGAAACTAGAACAAAAACGAACACAATGCAATAATGCACGACAAAAACATATAGCAGCCAATCAAAAAGCCAAACAGTCCGCAGCTGTACATCGTGAGCGAATTAGTGAACGTACTGAACAAGAAAAAGTTGTCTCGAACAATAAGGACTCACTAGCACGTTGTAAAAATGATTTCCAACGTTTAAATGAGGCTTTTCGTCAAACCAGTCGGACACGAGTACAAACAGAAACGAACTTAAAAACAACATCTAATAAACTTCAACGTGCTCAGTCTCAGCTTGAAAGCACTAGAAATGATCTTCAAAGGACTCAGAATGAATTTACTCAGCATGAACATCAAAAACAAGAATATGAATCAACTGTAAAAACAATGCGTGTAACAATTACGCGCCATGAACGTGCAATAGAAGACCATCGATCAGTCATGAGAGAGAATCAAACAGCACTCGCCGATGTAACAACTAACTATCAAAAACAAGCCAGCGATGTTCAACTGTTGAAAGGTCGAATAGATCAAATGAAGCAAAATTTAGGCGAAAAAACTAATGCTGAAAAAGTGAAATCACGTGAAATGAATCATCAGCAAAACACACTTGAATCTGAGAAGAAAACACTGCAACAGATGCGTGATGATATTGAAAACAACAAAAAGGAACTTACTAGAACTAAAGAAGAATTGAATACAAATACAGAGAAATTGATGACTGTAGTCAGTCAAATCAAAGATTTACAAAAAACAAAAAGCAATCTCGATCAACGACTCCAAACTAATCGTCAAGAACTCAATCAATGTGAAAGCGCACAGCGTAAAATACATACACATATACAAACACAAGAAAGTGAAGTTCAAAATCTTCGTCAAAAACTAGATGTACTTAACACTCGTGATCATAAACTACGTGGTGATGTTCAGCAAGTGGAATCGAAATTAAACAGCAAGACTGAGGAATTGACTAAAAATCAAAATAAAATCTTTGAAATCGATCAGCAATTACGATCGACTCGTGAACGACAAGTTCAAAGTCAAGCAAAACTAGAAGAAGCAAATAAGCAATTAAACTCACTAGATCAACGCTTTCGACAACAGAGCAACGAAGTCGCACAGCAAGAACGTCATTTTCAACAGACGGTAGATCGTATACATCGTGCGAATGATAAATTTGCAAATAACGAAGAACTTCGAGCTGAAACTTACCGAAGAATGGAACAACTGGAAAAAACCATCACTCAACTCAAGCAATATCATTGTGATGAGCAGATAAAACTTGACAATAAAGCAAATGAACTCATTAAGGAACAGCTAGATCAAAATGAAAACTTTCAACATTTGAGGATTGCGACTACCCTTCCTTCTCAACAGCCAGTTGAGCGAAACAAAAAGCAAACAAACTAAAATGACTATTGTTCACTCATAATCCTTAGCATGAACATTTTTAGTCTTTTTCTTATTTTATCTTATTAAACTTGAATGTCTCTTATTAAATAAACAATGTTATTAGCTTATTTCAGATTTTGTTTGAACGATGGGTCGCAAAACTGGCAATGAATATAGTTTTGCACGATTAGACTTTTCTAATGACTTGTCAACGAGTAATTTATTATCTAACCATGACTCTCATTCATCAAATCCAATGATGGTACCTGATGAGCTAACAAATGTCGAAGCTGTAACTCTTAATGTCTATATAAAATTCAATTATCCAGAATTGAGTGCATTCGTAAAAGAATTGGAAGAAACTAATGATTTGATGCAAGTCAACGAACGCGCTGTTTCTGCACTTCATCTTTGTGTCTTTCGCTCTGCTATGGAACCCATTGATATGAGCAATCAAACTGGTCGAACAATCTATCGACCAAATTTGTTTACTCGTAAGAATGATATGTATGGCCCTTGGAATTATAATTTCTTCTTGATCTTCTGGAAAGCAATGTTCAACAAACCGAGATAAATTTTCTAAAGTTTTGAAAACAACCGCAGCAACTACATTTCATATTAAAATTATATCTAGTTTCGAACGACCAGATGATATTCAAAAAACACAAAAACAGGCGGTGCCATCACGCGATGATGTGACTTTAATTGGGTTACTCAAAACTATTTGTTAACAAAATAAATGTAATGAATGTGATGCTAATGTATGCTTGAGAGCATTGAAAGGTCTTGTTTCGAAACGTTTTTCGGTCAACTATATTTAGAAGTCAATATTAACGTTATTTATATTTTGTAGAGGAAAACATTAGTACAATCGAACATCTACGTTTAGCAGCTGCAAACGAAAGTACTCGGGAAAAGCTTATTGCTGTTAAATACCTTGTCAAACAAATGATTCAAGATTATGCTCAATTGAATATTGCCGCTCGAACGTTTAATCAAGTAGCTGATCCTTATGAAGATTCTAAGGCTACATTACTAGATGACATTCATCGTGTTCGTCGATATTTCTATTATATTACTAGTCATCTACAATATTTAGCATATCTTGATCGGCGTGTGATAAAATTAGCTACCAAAGAAATTCGTTTGACATATGACGATGATGGAAATGTTCTGAGGAATATCGAGAACTACTTACGTACATTTTGTTTACAAAAGACAACGATCAGTGAGGCTCAACGTCTAAAATAACGTCAAGCATGGAGGGATGACTTGCATACACTCGAAAAAAATACAGCACAACGACAACAAAACGTGGATAAATTACAAACACTTTTTCAAGAAGCTGAACGAAATGTAATAATTTTTAAACTACGTCGTTCGAACGTGCTTTGAGAGAAGGAATCAATAGAAAAAACAACACATAAACTTATTGAAGAAGCAAGAACTATAGCTGCTAATCAATTTAATAATAAGAATTGAGAGATAAAACATGATCAAGGTCGACGAATGCATACTGATTATCAGACAAAAAAGCAAAATGCAGAGAAAGAATTACTAGAAAAATATGAATTATGTAACAAAGCAAAGCATCAGTACTTATTGAGTGCATCAAAAATTGAGAGTGATTGAAAGAAAATCAATGAATTGAAAGAATTATTTGGACTCAATCTGACTGATGAATATGGAAGATTGAATGAGAAATTTGGTCGTGTACTATTACTTTATGGTCCACCGGGAACAAGTAAGCTGAATTCGCTTCTTTTCGTCTTACATTAATGTATTCAAACAATACAAAGTCAGATTACTTGCTTTACAGCTTGCACATGGTGTGGGTGTGGGTGTGAGTGTTGGCCTAGGTGAAAGAGTATTCTATTCATTCCAGTCACATCCACACTCACACCCACCCCACCCCACCCCACAAATTTTAGTAGAACAGCAGTTGGTGCACTCAAATCAAGTGTCCTTGTGATGATATATGAAAGTGATCAAAATACTCTAACTAATCACCTATTACTGGAATTGGTAGATAATGCTGCGCGTGAATTCAATTGCTGGCTTGGTATTGGTACATTACCTGGAATATGTCGAATGGGCTCTAGGACAGAATGTCGCAAGACAAATGGTCGCGGACAAATGGTCGCAGACAAAATGTCGCATGGACAAAATGTCGCAATAATAAAATACTATTATATTT